AGCTGCTCTCGGTCCCCCATGTCGCTCGTGGCTCGGCCTCGCCTCGCGCCCGCACCGCTCGCCCGCTAGCTCGTGCGTCCGCTCTCTGGTCGCCGCGGAGGCCGCCGCCGCGCACGCGCACTGGCTCGCCGGCCGGCCCAAGGCTGCAGGCTGCAGGCAGCGCCGCCGCTCGCGCCCTCTCGCTGGCTCGCCCCGCACGCTGTGGCTCGCGCCGCCGACGCCGCCGAGGGAGGAGAGGCGGCCGCGCTGGGGGATGGGAGGATGGAGGACGCCTGCGCAGTGGGAGCAGCCGGGCCTGGCGGCGGGGAGCGGCGGGAGTGGGAGGGGGGGAAGGGCGGGCCGGCCCTAACGGTCTATTTCAAGGTGACGTCACCTACTATAAATAGCCGCCGCCGCCGCCGCCGCCGCCGCCGCCGCCGCCCCACCCGAGAACTGCGCAGGCGCCCTGTGAGTGCTGCATTTTACCGCCGCATAGGTGGAGGTGGGAGAAGGGAGAATGGGGTGGGGACTGCGGAGCCCGAGGAGGGGGGCGCGGTGATGGCGGTTGCGTAGGTAGCTCAGTGTCACAGCTCCTCCTCGAAGCGCGTCTCTGAGGCCAGGTTGGAGGTGTGGCTGCAGAAGGACCCAAAAATCAAATAACCCTACTGTTTGGAAAAGCCAGGAGGCCGTGTGCCCCGGGGGGCGGGCCGGGACCGCCCCCGCCGTCTGGCCAGCCTTCACCCCAGGCTGGCCCATGGGCTCCTTGGGGACGCACCCTCTGCTTGGATCCGTACTGGCCAGGGCAGGATCGGGTTTGGACTTTGTCCAGACGCCCCACCTGCCACTCCCAAACACACATTTCACACCCATCGGGCTGCAGAGCTGTGCTCCCACCTTGACAGTTGACTTTGGGCATACTGTGCCTTCCATGAGAGGAGGGACAGGATGGCCTGGATGCGATGAGTAACATGATATATCTCCTAGGAGCCAGCCCAGTGGTAGGCCTGTATAGGTATAAACATACTTAGTCCTCACAGCCCACCCCGCAGGTGGGCACACCTGGTCTCCCCATTTTTCAAAGCCAGATTAGTGACTTACTCAAGGTTACACAGCTGGTAATTGGTGGAGCCAGGATCTGAGTTCAAACCCAGGCTGAACTTCCTTCTGTGGCAAGGAGCGGGGTGGATGGGCTGACTGGTCACTAAGCCCATCCCTGTTGTGGCATTCTATGCTGAGGGTCCCTCATGCTAGGCCCTGGGCTGGGCCTTGGACAAACTAGGAAAATCGCAATGACTAAAACATAGCCTCACTTAAGTACAACATGCCAAGGGCAGCACAGGAGAAGGGACCTTAGGCTCTCTGGGGGGAAAGAGTACTGGGGGAAAGAGTAGCTATAGACTAAGATACATCCTCTTGGCTCATAAGCCAGATCTAAATACACAAGTGCAGGTAAGCTGGACTTTGAGGGAGATGAAAGTCAGGGAAAAAGTATTAGGGAGTGGGGTCCAGCACAGACAAAGCCTTAGCAGTGAAGACAGAAACAAAATCTGAGAGACAGTGAGAAGAAAGGCCTGGCAGTGGGAAATGAGGTTGGGCAAAACGAGATAACGGAGTGTTTTAAATGCCAACCTGAAGATTTGAGTCATTATCCTTAGGTAATTGGGAACCAGAAGAGTTGTGGAAGTCCCATTTCAAGCCAAGAATCTTGCTCTGGAGAGTAAGATGTATTTGAAGGGAGAAGTGAGGGACTGGAACTTAGTTTTACCATCTAGCAATTGGACTCAAAGGACTATTAAATGCACCGTAGAATAGAAATCCTGAAATGTCCAAGGTGGTAGGACATTTAGAGTCACTGTCATCCAATCCTTTATCCCATATAAGGAGAAACTGAGGTCTGAGGAAGAGGAGAGGCTAGCCCCAGTTTGCACAGTGAGTGAGCAGAGCTGGGGTCTCCATACTAGGTCTCCTGTCTCTGGGCCTTCTCCCTGCTGTGACACTAAAATGAGGATCTCAGTACCCATGAAACAGGATCTCAGTGTGAGTCTGAGCAGAGGCCCCCCCACCGCAAGTTTCACCATGCTTTGAAGAGTCACCTTTGCTAACTACAAATGGAATTGAGGTTAACAAACTAGGCTGATCTTTCCCCTGGTGGATATCTTTAAAGAGCATGATAGATGATAATTAATTGCCCCCCCCCATGAAAATGGCGTTCCAGTGAGAGGTGGGAGGAGAGCCAGCGCTGGGAGATTTCTATGTTTCCTTCCAGCTTTTGGAGAGATTAGAGCCCTTCCAGCTTTTCTGATCATGCTGGACTCAGACTGATTTCAAAACAGTGAAAATTAGGTAGAATAGGGCATTCTAATTCTAATAAATGTCAATGGGGGACACTTTGGTTCTCCCATGAAGTTTTTCTTCTCACCAAAGTTCACTGTCTCCACTTCTTCACCTCCCACCCACCTCTCAGTCCAGTGTACTCCGGGTCTGTCTACCCCTAGTCCTTCACCGAGATGGCTCTCACTGTGGCCACCAGCAAGTAGCCTCCTGTTGCCAGTCCAGGGTCATTTCATAGTTCTCACCTTCCTGGCCCCCTTGACCCCCCTGGGCACAACTGCTCTCCCTTCCTACACAGGCTGTCCTCTAAACCTCCATGACGCTGCACCCTCCTGGCTTCCCTCTGCTGCCCCACTGCTCCCCTTCTCTGGTCTCCTGCGTGGGCTTGTCTTCTCAGCCTACCCTGAAATAAATACTGGGGTTCTGCCCCAGGCCCTCTGCTTTTCTCACTCTGTTCTATCCTGGGTGACTCCATCCACACCCACTCTTGAGGGAACATATGCCCCATTCCCAGCTCTGGGCAAGGAGCTTTGCAGAAATGGGTATATTTTTTTCCCTCAAGATTCCCCCATCCCCGCCATAAGGTAGGTGCAATTTCCATTCCCATCTTTCAGATGAGGAAACTGGCTCAAAAATGTTCCATGATTTTGGGTGTTACATGCAACTAATGAATCGTTGAACACGACATCAAAAATTAATGAGGTACTATATGTTGGCTAACTGAACGTAATGAAAAATAAATTTAAATGTTCCATGATTTGAATAGTCACAGCTGGTAATCATCAGAGTCAGGATTTGAACTCAGGTCTGTCAGACTTCCAAACCTGATGGCCCAACACTGCCTTTTGGTGTTAGCTGAGAAGGTGTGACTCCCTTCCAGGGTCATTCAGATTGTAAAAAGTACACACAAGCCTCCCTATCTGGAGGCTACACACTCTGACCAGCACCCATTTTCACCCTTCGGAAAGGGCTGCCAACTCAAGCCTTACAAATAAAGCCCAGGACAGCTGCCTTGGACGGGACATCTACTCCCAGGGCTCTAAGTCCCACCAATAAAGTTGTTCTCTTTGAACAACTCCAGAGAGAGCCCCTGAACCAGGTCAAGGGGACTAACCATGAAGGCCAAACACACCGTGTTGCCCAGAGCTCAGAGCAAATCCTCAGTGCAGAGGCGACGTCTGCCGCGGCTTCGTCCGGTACCGGGTCTCTTGCTCCGGGAACAGAGCAGTCTGCCCCTGGCTACCTGAGGACATGTGAGTGGTGTGATGGGGAAGAAGGATCTGCACTTAGTTTCTTTCTTTTTTTTTTTTTTAAGATTTTATTTATTTATTTATTTGACAGAGAGAGACACAGCGAGAGAGGGAACACAAGCAGGAGGAGAGGGAGAGGGAGAAGCAGTCTTCCTGCGAAGCAGGGAGCCCAATGCGGGGCTCGATCCCAGGACCCTGGGATCATGACCTGAGCCGAAGGCAGATGCTTAACGACTGAGCCACCCAGGCGCCCCAAGGATCTGCACTTAGTTTCAAATTCTACCCTGCCAGTTACCAGCTGAGTACCTTTGGGCAAGTCCCTAAAACAGGACTAACCACACCTATTTCTTTGGGTTGGGGATCGGCAAGAGCACATATCTTCCTCACCTGCACGGTGGCGACACACAGGAGGCACCAGCTGTCACAACCATAGAACGAATAATTCCTTGCTGCGTCCCACCCTTAGGGCGCCTGGGTGGCTCACTTGGTTATGCGTCCCACCCTGAGCGGGGGAGGGGTGGGTAACAACTGTTCCTCCTGCAGGACTGGATTTCCAAAGCAATGCCAGAACCCACCACCAGAGCTGAGTGAATAGGTGACCCAGAAAAGGCACGTCCTGTTTTTTTTTTCCCCCTCGGGTACTCTGGGACACTCTGAGGTCCCTGAGAAGTCTGGACACCAAAGGACATACTACAGAGGAGACCTGGTATTATTCTGGAGAGATGGCTTTCACCCTGTTGGCATGGTTACCATCTTAAGCAGAAGGGGCCACCTGCCCACAGATTAGTGTCACCCACATAGGATTGTAGGGTTTTTCCCCACCAAATGCAGGCCTCTTGCTGCCCAGGTAACCTTGCTGATCCTAAACCAGTGATAACACCACCATCAACAGCATCAGCGGTAGCTGCCCAAGGGTCGACATTTTCCCCCCTTATATTATCTCACCAAATTCTTACAACTCGTGAAAGGAGGTTGTTATCCCCATTATGTGGATGAGGAAAATGAGACCTAGAAAGGTCACCTGCAGCCTCCCACTCACACCCACATTCTGCCACTTGCTGTGGCCTCGGGGTCCTTTTGCTGATACCAAATTGCACCCCACCCCTTCCCGTCCACCGCTCTGTGTCTGAGACCAGCCTGAGCCCACAGACCTCAGGACCATCCAGAGCCCTTCACCACTCTGTCAAAGCCCACTTTGGGAGCAATTGGCTCCCCAAGGCAGCTTTTGATATTCCGAAGTGTGAAAATGTCCTGGTAGCTGCCATCTGTGAGCCGGTGGAGCTCAGAGCCCATTCTCAGCACCCGCCCCCCGCGAGCTGGTTCAGAGGAGTTCAGCTCTGAGGAAAGACAGTGAAGCCGTCCCCCATGGAACCACAGTGAGAATAAGGGCAAAAAAAAAAAAAGGCTTTTTTTGCTTCAGTTCTGCAGATGGTGGAGGAGCTTGTGTTTCTTCACCAGAATTTTCTAGATCCTTTGACTGGAACCATCTGGGTAATTGTCTCAAGCTTCTGTGTGATTCCCACTGAGGTGGAACCAGGTAGGAGGGGCTGTGTGGCGCGTGTGGTGCTGTGACTTCCTCTCTCTGAGCCTTGGACTTCTTGTCTGTGAAATGGGAGTCTGCACTGACAGGATGGTAGAGTTCGTTCTTTCTTCCAGCCCTGAAGGCCTAGGGTATTTCACTGTTGGAGGTTCGGCAAATAACAGCATGGCAACTCGAGAGGATGAAACGGGGCTTCTTCAAAGGTCCAGTGTTTGGACCCCGACTCGAAACTAGTGGAGGAGGGTAACAGGGACCTACTCCATAGCAGGCCGGGCGGTGGGGGGGGGGGCAGTGCATGCCCACTCAGTTAAGGTAAGGTCAGTATTGTAGTTCCAATTTTACAGATGAGGAAACTGAGGCCCAGGGAGGTCAAGTGTCTTGCTCAAGTGCAGCACAGCCAGCAGGGGTCAGAAACCTGCATCCAGACCCACTCCACCTTCATTCTTCCCGCTGTGGCCCCTGATCTCCTGAGAGCCTTTTGGTTGTTGAGCTGTGAGCATAACCGTCCTCTACTGCTACCTAAGCCATACCCCGGGAAGTAAGCGAGGGGGTTGCTGAGTTTCCACAGAGGTTTCCTGCCAGGCAACTGTGCTAAAAAAAAAACATCTTTTCCTACCTAGTATGTTAGTAGGAGGTGAGCAGATTGCGACAGCCTTCTGTCTTCTTCCAGACAACAGTGGCAGGCTGGTCCCCACTCAGGAAACAACAGAGGGACCCAGGAGGACCAAAGCCATAGGAGAAGGCTGACCCCAGGGGCCTGGCCTCTGCACACACAGGAGACTCAGACCCACGGCAGACCCACTGGAGTCATAGATAGGACCCTTTCCTGCTTAGAAGATATAAGCTCCTCCCTCCTGGCCTTTCATCACGTGCCCCTGGGCCGCCTTCCAAGCTCATCACCTACTCCCTGAGCATCCTAGGTTCACCATGTTCCCAGCCTCCGCCCACAAGTTTCTACCAACTAGAATGTCCTTTCCCATCCTGCTGCCTCTTCCTCTGCTTCAAAGTCCCTTAATGGCCAGCAGAGACCTCACCTCCTCAAGGGAGCCTTCCAGGTTCTCCATCAGGAAGCACTCTCCCCTCTGCCCACTCCCCCAGGGACTCTGGTATCCACCACGTGCATAGAGTTATTTTGGTAAGGCTGATGTGTGCTGGCCAGCTGTTAAGCACCGAGCACGATGCTACGCAATTTCACATATGATTTCATTTAATCCTCGTGACAATGATGAGGTGGGGATTCCTCTTATACCCACTCAAACGGATGGGGAAACTGAAGCTCACTTACCCACGGTCATGGAGCATGTGCACCCAGGTCTTTCTTTCTTTCTTTTTTTTTAAAGATTTTATTTATTTATTTGACAGAGAGACACAGCGAGAGAGGGAACACAAGCAGGGGGAGTGGGAGAGGGAGAAGCAGGCTTCCCGTGGAGCAGGGAGCCCGATGCGGGGCTCGATCCCAGGACCCTGGGATCATGACCTGAGCCGAAGGCAGACGCTTAATGACTGAGCCACCCAGGCGCCCCACACCCAGGTCTTTCTGACTGTCAAGTTCACGGCTCTTTGCCACTTACACCACCTGCTTCCCACTTTCTAAGGAAGTTGCCATTTCCCTTGCAGAACGTAAACACTGGGGAATCATTCCTCATCTGAGCCCCCACCCCCGGGGCACACCCCTCCACGAGTGAGTGCTGAATTGAATCTGATCACAACTTGTGCATACTGCAGAAATTCCACCACTAGAGTCCTCTTGGTGAGTGGCAAAGTCTTGCAGGAGGCGGGGCACTTTTAATGGGCTGACAGCCAACTGACAAACTGACAGCTTGGGGGAAGGTAAGCTAAGGGAGTGAGCAAGGGGGAGGAAGGCGAGATTGCAGGTCAGAGGAGGCTGAAAGGCAGAGGAGGGCTCCTGGGTTGAATGGGGCAGTTTCTCAGACCCTCCTCAAATTCTGGCAATTCCCCAGTAGCTGGGGAAGCCTGGGCAAGGGGCTGCACCTCTCTGAGCTTCGGTTTCCTCCTCCATAAGATGGGCCTGTTGCAACAGTGCTTGCTGTTCACGCTAGACGCCCCGGGCTTCCGCCAGAGGAATGAGGTTGTGCTGAGGGAGAGAGTGGCTGCTGCCTCCTGGGACAGTTGGCAGATCAGCCCAGCCTGAAATGCCCTCCCCATGAAATCGCTGGGCCCTAAAGGCCTGGGGGCATCCAGGAACTCACAGGATCACAGACTCACAATAAGGGTCTTAGAGACAACTCAGGCTGGCTTTCTAGCTCTCCGAGACAGCCGCACATGGTTCCAAATCCAGCGTCCACTCACTCTGTGGCCTCATGCCTGTCACTTTGCCCCTCTCAGACTGGTTCCTCATCTTTAATATGGAAGTAAACATAATTCCTTTGCCATAGCTCTATGGATGGAGGATGAGACCCCAGACCCCTCTGGGGTCATGTGTCCAGCCTGGGGTCTAATCCACAGTATAACCCCAGGCATGTCAGGTCTCCCCTCTGAGCGGCACTTTCCTTACTCACCAAATGGGGGTAAGGATTCCTGGCAGAGCAAAGGGATTAATGAAGGCTGTTTTCCTAACAGCTACCCCTGAGCTCTTGTGATGCCCCAAGCCCTGTACTATCACCAGCCATGGCCGCATCTAATCTTCAAAGGAACCCTGTGAGGTGGGAACTCAATTTGCAGATAAATGGCTGGGAAGAGTCAGAACCAGGATCTGAGTTCTGAGCCTGTTCCCTCTGCCTGGCACACTTACCCGCCTCTTTCCATGCCTAACTCGGGTTCCTTCTTCAGGTTTCAGTGTTAACCCTGGCTTCTCTGGAAGGATCCCTCAGCCTCAGGCTGGGCTGGGCACCTGCTCTGGCCCTCTGCATTGAGACTTTTTCTCCCGTCCTCCGCCAGCCAGTGGGGGAGGGAGCCCCAGGAGGTAAGGTCACACTTAAGAGCTGTATCCCCAGAGCCTAGCACTGTGCTTGGCATACAGCACGTGCTCAATCAGTACTTGCCGGATGACTGAATGCCTCATGTCAGCATCAGGATGCCACCCAGGCCCTGAGGAGCCAGGGAGATGGGAGGAAAGCTTTTGGAGTCCTGCCATGCCTTACATTAGCAGCATCTTCTCTGAGTCCTGGCAGCCAGCGCCCTGGGATGCCATTTGAGCCGGCTGAATTCCGGTCACTGTTTCACCTTGGAAAGGCAGCCGTGGCCCCCACCAAGCAGCCCGGCAACTGACGTCACCATTAATGTTTAATGTGGACTCCACTGCGGCAGAGCTGCAGGCTAGAGGAGCTGGAGGGGGCTGTGCTGCATCTCCGTGGGTCGTGGGGAGGGCAGAGATGGAAAAGGGGTGCATAAACCAGAAAGCCCCCAGCAGAGGAGCATTACACTGGCCCGTTTTAGTCCCTGGCTTAACTCAGAAAGAGCCAGCGCAGCATTTGCCTGCAGGGGGACAAGGAGACTGCTGACTGAGCCCAAGGGATAAACATTTGGGGGATTAGGGGCTCCCGGGGAGATTTCCTGGAGACAGTGGGAGGGTGAACCCTGGCGCCAGCCAGACCTGGACTCCACTCCACGTTGGCACTGTGCCGCTATGTGACCGGGGAGCAGCTGCACCACTGAGCCTCTGTTCTCCGATCTGTGAAATGGGCATGATACCTTCCTTGAGGGGTTGTTGTGAGAGGATTCAATAAAACAAGTGATCTAGATAGAGGACCCAGCACATACTAGGACCTCGGTAAATGCTTCTCCCAAACCAGGTGCGGGGCCTGAGGTTGGAGAGAGGAGACCTGAAGGTGCTTCACCCATTCACTGGCCAGCATGGCCAGAAGAGAGGGGTCCACAAGGACTGACCCCTCGTTAGACAGACGAGGATGCCGAGGGCCCGAGAGGGAGCAGAGGCTCACACAGCAGAGCTGGGGTCTGACCTGGCCTGCAGTTGCCCACCTGCCTTCCCCACCAGTGATGATGAGGAGATGCCCCCATTCCCTGATGGGTGCTAGACAAAGCAGGACCCTCATCCTCCACCCTTTCCTGGTCTCCCTCCTGCATGTTTCCCTGCAAATCCTGGGAGCTTCCCAAAGTGTAAATCCGACCACGGCATCCCCTGCTTAAAACCCTTCGGTGGTCCCACACTTAGGGTTGCCAGAGAAAATGCAGGCGGCCCAGTTAAAACTGAATTGCAGATAAAGAACAAATGATTTTTCAGTATAAGAATGTTTCAAATATTGCACGCACATAATTACACTAAAAAATTCTTCATTGTTTGGGGCGCCTGGGTGGCTCAGTCGCTTAAGTGTCTGCCTTTGGCCCAGGTCATGATCCCAGGGTCCTGGGATCAAGCCTCATGTCGCTCTCCCCCTACCTCCCGCTTGTGCTCTCCCTCTCACTCTCTCTCTCTCAAATAAATAAATAAAATATTTTTAAAAAAATTCTTCATTGTTTATCTGAAATTCCAAGTTAACAGGACAACCTGTATTTTTATTTGCTAAATCTGGCAATCCTACACAAACAGCCTTCAGGAAAAAGGTCAGAGTCTCTCATCAGCCCACGAGGCCCACTGTGGCCCCAAGCTCATCCTTTCCCTCTCTTGCACATAAACTCCCTGCTTCGGACACAACTTGTTGCCTTTTCTTGAGAATCCCAAGCTCTCCCTCTGCTCTGGTCTCTGTAAATGCTATGCTTTCCACTGGGACCTTCTCGGTGCCTCTTCCTCCTGTTGCTGCCCCACTGAGCTTGACCCGACCCATCCTCAGGCTTCTCCAGCATTGCTGTTTTCTCCTGGAAGGCTTCCTGACTCTCCAAGCCTGGATGGTACCTCCCCTGGGTTCTCACTGTGCCCGGGGCAGGTCCTCTGCCTATCTCGTTCACTCAGTGCAGAGTAGAGGCTCCTCAAACATTTATTACATGGACTGCTAAATTCCACAGCCCCCTTGCACCTCTGCTATCAAGAGTTTCCCTCCTTCAGCTAAATCCTACATGCCCTCCAAGGCCCTGTTGGAATCCTACCTCCTCTAGGCCTTCCCCAGGGCCCAGTCCTGCCAGTTCAGTCATCATCCAGCGTAGTGAGCAACCTTTTCAGCCCATAAGCTCAGCAAGAGCAGCACCCGTCAGACTCTCCTGTGACCTGCAGTGCCCAGCACAGTACCTTCCTGCTAGATGGTGCTCAACAAATGCCAGTGAGTTTGGAGGATACCAAACCAAGCTCCTGTGTCTGCTTCTCCTCCTCCTCCTCTCAGAGGTCAGTAACGGAAATCCTAACCCTGCCCTGAAGCAAAGCCTCCTACATCCTCTGTGGATGACAGGGAAGCATCTTTAATTCCCACCTGACAGAACAGCAAACGGAGGAAGTGGAGGAACCATTAGTTTGTGGTTCAGGTCTCTGGACTCCATCCTACCCCAGGGCCTTTACACCTGCTCTTCCCTCTGCCCAAGGTACTCTTCCCAAAGATCTTTACATGGATGATGTAGCAGATTAAATCTGACCATAAATATTTTGCCACTCACCCCTTCAAGAGGTGGTGTCTCTCCCCAGCCCTTGAATCCAGGCTGGACGTGTGACTTGCTTGGACAACAGAATGTGGCAGAAGTGACCCTTTATGAGGTCAGAGCCTAAGCCTAAAGAGGCCGTGCAGCTTTTGCCTTCCCCCTCTTAGAATGCTGCCCCTAGCTCACCATGTAAGGCCAACTGCAGGATGAGAGGCTGTGTGACAGGGGGCTGAGGGGCCCCAGCCAACAACCAGCACCAACTACTAGAAGGCTGAGTGAGGCCTTCTTGGACCTTCCAGTCCAGCTGTGCCTCCAGCTGCATGCAGGAGAAACGGGCAGAGGAACCACCCAGGCCAGCCGCAGGCTCATGAGAAATAATAAATGGTTGTTATAAGCCACAAAGTTTGGGGGTTTGTTACACAGTTTGGGTTTGTTACACAGACATCAATAACCTGCAACTGCCTCCTCTTCATTCAGGTACCTGCTCAGATGTCACCTCCTCCGAGAGAGTCCTTTCTCGACCATCCTGGCCAAAACAGCACATTCCCCACCAATCGCTCTCTATCCCATTATCCTGTTTCATCCTTCCTGAGCATGTGTCACCATCTGAAATCACGATGTATTCACTCACAGACTTGTTGTCCATCTCTTCCACCAGGCAGCAGGCTCCATGAGGCCAGGGGTCCTAATGGTTTGTTACCTGCCATCTCCCTAGCACCCGTGTGGGGTCTGACACAGGGAAGATGCCACAAATTGGTGGTGGCGGTTGTGAAATCATGTGCCTGCCCCTTGCTGGTGCGGCACTTCGGGGGGCAGAGTGGCAGGCGTGAGCTCCCACCTTGCTGAGTCCTCCAAAACCAATGTCCTTAGGAGGTCAGGAAGGCCGGCCAGGTGTCTGGGTTTGTGTCAGGGGCAAGAGCTTCAGGGAGCCCAAGTTGAGCAGGAATGATGGGAAATTGCCAAAACGTTCATTTTCAGCAGGGGCTCAGATTCAGACCAAGGAGGTCACTGGCTTTCTTCCTCTGTTGCCGATTACCGGCAGCCCAGCCATGCTCTCCTGAAAGATCACAAAGCTGAGAATCTAGGCAATGGGAGACAGTGTCGAGGACACTGAGTCACTTCTCAGGGGCCAAGGCTTTCCGAGTCCCTAACACAAAGCGGATCCTCTGAGCCTGCTTTCTCCAGCACCAAAAAATAGGTAAAGCCACAGCCTCAACTGAGGAAAAACTGCACAGCCAAGAGCAAAAGCTGCTCTCAGATGCCCCGTCAAATTACCATGCTGCATTCTGCGGGGGTAGAGCGCGCATCACCGCTGCCCTGGCCAGGCTGCTCTCAAGCCGGGTGGTCCCATGCTGAAATTCTGGCTGCAGTACTGAGTAACTATGTGACTTTGGCACACTACCTAACCTTCCTGAGCACCAGCTTCTGCATCTACAGATGGTGCACAATGAAGACCAAACGTCTAAGGTTGTGATGAGGAGTCGATGAGATTGCGTGTGCTCAGCACAGCTTCAAGCAACAGAAACGATAAATGGATTGTAGTTCAGTTTGTGAGTATCTCTTCACCTATCCGTGTGCTGGCAGTGGTTGGGGTGGGGGGAGCAGTGTGTAGAGAGTAAGGTTTGAGTGAGACATGGACCCTTCCTGGGGATTGGAGCAACATTTAGGGGTTGCCTGGCAGGGACTAGGTTTACAGTGTGAACCCCTTGGTCCATGTTGGAAACATTGGAATGCCTGATTCTACTTAGCACTGTTCTCAGGCCTTATGAGAGGACCCCTCAGAGCAGTCCTTCAACCCTCCTGGAGGCCCCCTGGTATGGATAAGGCAATGGTTTGGAGGTAGAGCCCTGGTAAGGATTTAGGAGGCCAGGGTTGGAGGCCCAGCTCTGGCACTAATAAGCTGTATGACATGGAATAAATCACTTGCCCTCTCTGGGCTATGTCTGGTGTCCTCATCTATAAAATGGGTCATTCGTCCCTGAATTACCAACTCACAGGGTGGTTGGAGGATCAGATAATGATTCAGATGCAAGAATGCTTTGGAAAGCATTAGCTGTCTGATGAATAAAACTATTAAAACTGAAAGGACTATGGGAAATCCCTGTAACCTTCTGTTCAATTTTGCTGTGAACCCAAAATTGCTCTAAAAAAGTCTTTAAAAAAAAGCCCTGGATTCTCTAGCAAAAACCCTCCAAAGCTTTTAAATTAAGCAATATAATATGAGTTCAAATCCTAGATTGCAACGTGCATGATTCTGGGCAAATGAGTCAACCTCTGGCACTGCCAGAGGCTTGGTTTTTTTCTTCTGCAGGAGACAGGAGCCCCGGGGGCAAGAGAAAGGCAGGGAAGAAGCTGTCAGATACAAGACAGATGAGATGAAGAGATGAAGCCTACCAGCCTCCCAAACCCCTGGGCAACACATGGCAGAGGGTTCCCCACCTGACTGCGAGCTGAGGTGGGGGCTACCTGTTCCTTTTGCATCCCCTGCACCCCTTCGGATCTCAGCTCCACCCCAGGTAGATGGTGACTCAAGTTCTGCAGAGACTGGTCCCTCTGCCCCTGTTGCCATGGCGCTGCAGCACAGCCTGGCCAATCAGGAAGGAGATGGGTATCTGAGCCTCTGTTGCTAAAGCTGGAGCAGGACGCCTGGCCAATGGGAAGAGCAGCAGAGTGGGGCCACCATGGAAACCTCAGCCCGGAGGTTCCAACTGCGTTTTGTCTCCATGCCTCATTTGCAGGGGGGCGGGGGGTGTTAGGCTGGGTTTTCTGCTTTCCTTTTTGGCAAAGAGCGTCTCGCAGCCCCGGGAGG